ACCAAAAAAAAACAATAACAATAACAATGGTTACAATAAGCCATTGTAGGCGAGCTGTACCGAAAGCCCTGCGCCTTTTTGGTTGCCGAATATTTGTTCCTTACTAACTTAGAGAACTCCCGAATTCATGCAAAACATATTTAGCGCAACCAATATTGATAAGTAAAAACTTATGGTGTTAAAAAGGAAAATCTCAAGGTGCGCTGACTGCTAACGGAAGCGTGAAATATCTACTAAAAGAAAATGATATAAGAGAATGCCGTCTACTTCATGCGTACGTGTGGTTATGTGAATGCTTCCAGTATCCGCGCCGGTGGTATAAAGGTCAACAATGTACACATATTAATGATCGTCCAACTATTACAAACGTCCACGGTACAGCTGATCCCAAAATCCTATGTTTTAAAACGCCTTCACGTGTAATTCGGATGCTGAAACGATTAAGATGTTGTTTCAGTGGTATTATAAGCACACCTCAACATACAAAAAGTATCCCAGTCTAAAATAGAGACAGGAGATTCAACATTTGTGAAATTTCACAAGTAAATTACTTAGTACATCAAAAACAGTTTTATGATATTCAGTAAATGGTCAATTCTACGACCTATTTCGTGTCGAATCCCATAAACACCAGTACTTATGTGATTTAGTACATTGATGAAGGATACGATAGATGATAACGACATATGCACGAGGTGAAACACCATGCTAGTTGCAGCATTATGTTATAAACCACCCAAGGCATGTGAAAACGACGAAGATAGAGGTACCATAACAAAACGACAATATGAGATTGCACAATGTGTTCAACACCAACGAAACCATACTTTAAATGCTCCGAGTGACTATGTATAGCCACTTAACTTGGAGGCATAAAATGTAATCATTCGAGACATTAAGCAAAAATGAATACGTACATACCCTGTTCGCCACTCTGGGGAACATCATCATCTATAGCGAGAACCTTGTCTATTTTTTTCTGGGCCTCTTTGAGAGCAGAAGTCGCTAACTTCGAAGCACTACTAATAGACGACCACCAGGCCATTACTGAACCTATGCACAAAGGTCATTGTGGTAGGCTGGGTTAGTCCGAAAACAGGTTTGTTTATTAATAATGACCGTGCTGTGGGTGACCAAAAATCAAAGCAAAACCAGGTTTTCAATGCAAATCAGACCACTCGAAAGTGCATAATTAATAACTTGCTGTCATTGCAAAACATTCCATTTAAAAATCAGGTGTAAGAAAGTGTCAGCTGAAGTAGAACAGCATTGGAAATATGTAAGACATAAGAATCCTCCCTTTTGCAATGATTGTAACTGCTGTTATGATAACCTAGCTAGCAATTGAAAAACAAAATATCGGGTTTTGAGTCTGAATAGGTAACTCAGGAGAATCCATGGAAATCCGAGAGCTCAAAATCATGCTGAAGAATTTGCGCCAGGGTGTTAATGGAGGTAGTACACGCCAGCGATAACTAGGAAAGCGGCAGAAAAAACTCTCCGCAAACTTGTATGTTTATCAATTAAGCCTACAGGTACACATTGTTGGTATTTTCTGGTATTTTTCATAAATGTGTTCATTTATGCTGACATCAAATTTTCCGCTGATTGCAATATCACTGTGCAGCATGTGTAGCCTCCGGCGACTTTTCTGAAAGTATTAAAGCAACTGGCATGGCCTGAAGGTCGGCCCTTCCAGCAAAATATAATGGCTAATCCAAAGTAAGCCTTTGCTAAAACCGACCATTTACAAACATCCAACATATTACAGTATGGACTTTGGCTAGAGGTTTAAAGTCTACCACTTGCTTTTTCTTTAAAAGGTACATTTAAAGCAACAGAGTTATTACAGTGTATTCTGTTAATTTTTGCCACATTTGGCGTTTTAATCCAAAATTTTCTAGCAGGTATGAGTCACAGTTCGCACTCAATCATTTATCTGCATTAGAAGTAGCTGCTTGGAGTTCGTTAGGAGTATTCTATAGCTCTAGGTTTTATGCAATAATGCTCACTTTCTTATTCCGAGGAAACGTTATCACTTATATGAATTAGCAAGTGATTTCATTTAAATAACCTATCTGCCAAAATTGGCATCTAATAAACGTTCTGTAAAAATAATAAATGAAGGGAAAGCAAACATTTTTTTGTAAAGTACAGGTGATGTTTTAAGTTTTACCATTATAGGTGCGCCATTAGACTAAGCCAATTACTCATTAGCGTTGCGATAATGACTGACGACATCCCTAAGGATCGCGTCAAGGAACTTAGGTATGTTTCCTGCGTTGTTTTACTTCTCTCCAGACAGGAGGCTATTCTTTGCCGTGTAAAGTACCACAATAATCTTCCAGAACTCCCATTTGATCCCAAGTTTTTACCATATCCATTCGAGCCCACGAGATTTGTGCAATATGCTGCGACTTCCCTTGAGAGAAACCACAAGCACGAACTCTTATGCGAAACTGATGTCGGAGTTGATGTCGATCTTATTGATCCATCTGCATTTAAAACAGATCGCACAGGTATCGGTTTCTTCTTCCACACACCCTTTAGCTTCTCTTCATCCTGACGATGAAAAACTTTTGGAAGATGATGATCCTAATGCAATAAATGATAGGAGGTTAGTTTTTTTGCTTAGCTTTGGCATGTCTGTAGATCTCGGCATCAACGTTCGGTTGCATGGTTGCGCAAGACGGAATACCTTTCCACCGAACATTACAATAAGTGGAATAAATCAGAGAAGATCGAGACAAAGTAGGTTTGTTGGTTTATTATTTTAAAATTGTAGACTTGGTCACAATGTTAAACAGCGATTTGCTGAGGAAATCGTGTATCGTGACAGAGAAAGTCAAATTAATGCTATCGAAGCTACATTTACTGCTGCTAAAAAACCGATTCAGAGGCACTACAGCAAGCCAGGCGTTCACGCTGTTGAAGTTCTGCCTCTTCTCCCCGACTTCAAGTTGTGGCGTTATCCCTGCGCCCAAGTAATTTGACTAATATTATTTTTTTGTTGCGTTTTTTCCCTATCTGCGTTGGTTGTTTTTTGTACCTGTAGGTCATTTTTGATGATGACCCAGCTCGTAAGGGAATATCTGCTGCCGAACAGCGCGAAGAAGTTAACCAAGCTGTTATTAGGTATTGTCTATTTTGTCATTCCAAATTTCACCTGCTCGTATTTCCAATTAAAGGGGTATGGTGGATGAGACTGGTGATCACTTCGTTGTTTATTTCTTACCCACTGAAGAGACCAAACAACAGCGGCGTTTTGATGCTGAAAATCATGTTGCGTTTACAGAAGGCGCCTCTTATGAATATGAAAAGGCGCGTGAATACAATTGGAATGTGAAAAATAAGACAATGACTAACTATGAAGAGAACTACTTTTTTGTTTTCCGTAAAGACGACAAGGGTAGGCAAAATTGGTAGCAGTTTTCTATTCATGGAAGTCGTATTCTCAGGCTCTCCTGTTGTCTTCTCTGTAAGATTGTCCTGCGGGTGTCTACTACAACGAGCTGGAGACTCGTGTGAGACTCAGCAAACGTAGGAAGGTGCAATCGAGTTTTGGAGGTGGGCCCATGGCGCCACCACAGCCGCCCTCTAAGATGCGTTTGGTTGTGCAGCACAGAGACTTCACATACGAGGAGCTGCAAGCACAAACAGCGCGTCTGGACATGCTCAAGCATGAGTCAGAGGACGAAGAGGAAGAAGAGGAGGCTGAGCAAGAGCACCCTGAAGCTCAAGAAAGCGAGGGCGAGGCGCAAAAGAATCACTCCCCTCTACTTGAATCTCCCTCTCCGGGTGGGTAGACCGATTTTTTATTTGTTTTCAGTTCTATGTTCTGCGTAAAAATCATGTTTCTGCCGGCTGCAGCGTCTGGAGCAAAACGGGGGCCCCAGTTGCATTCAGATAGCGAGGGAGAACACAGCAGTCTAGAGGGTGATGAGGAGGCGGAACAGAAAGCTACACTACAGAGTCACTTAGGGACGAGGCGATCTTCAACAAAGCGCTCCACAACTGCTGCTGTCTTCTCAGACGATGATGACGAGGAAGAAGAGGAGGGAGCCGACAAGGAGGAAGAAGAGGAAGGGAAGGAGATACATGACACTCGTCACTCCGTATCATCGGACCTCTCTAATGACAGTCCACCGCGAACCCAATCGCCGATACCCAGTCGCTTTTCATCGAAAAGACCGACTCGTAAAAGATCATTCACGGAAGGTAAATCGAAATCCGTTTAAGCGTCATTTCGTATCTCATGAGGTTATTTGGAATCGATGTCTTTTAATAGTGTAAATTATTGGTTTTGTTTGTTTGTGAAAGTAAAAAGCATCATTACGGGTAGGCTGTCATCAACGGCCAAGTTTTTTTAAAGGATGACATTGCTAGCCTTTCACATCTGAGTTTCAAAATAAGGCCATGAATAGGATTAAACGCTCTTGTCCTTTTGTCCTAACATATTCCAGATGTTGAAATCTATGGTTAAGGAAATTAATAACGTGGAGATTATCTTTGGATCATCACATTCTTGCTATATCATTGGTTTTGTCAGATGAGGTTAATATCTATATTGAAGCCGTTTTTAATTGTTATGGAAACACTTGCCTCGCCAAAACGTAAATGATATCATGGTCAGATCGAAAATGCTTTTCAAAACGGTTGTTATTGTTTAATTTGGAGGCTAGATAAGCTCCATTATCGAGCGGTGCTAAGCGAAACCTTTCCTACTCAAACAGTTGAAGACAACAGCGGAAGTGATAATGAGGATGAGCGTTCTCCTTCACCACCACCGTCGCATCGGCGTCGTCAAGAGTTTACCCCTGCACCCAGACCTTCTGTCAACTCCTCCTCCAGGCGTCCCGTCCTTAGTGAGAGTGATGACGATCTTAGTAGTCTCAGTGGTTAAGGAGGGAGCGCGCCCTCTTCCTTACTCTTGACTATCTCTAACGCACCGAGACCCCATCTTCTCTCTTTTTGATGTAAATATTGTTCTGGGTCGATTTTAAATATCATTATGTATATATTGTGCTGCTGTTTTTATTTTTTGATGCTGCAAGGAAATGTCATTTGTAGGCGAACCTCCTTGTTGCACGTGGTTTCTCGAAGGTCAAATGGGATAAATGTGCTAACTTTCTCAAAAGTGGGCAATGGACAGTCAATTTCAGGTTAAGAAATCCTGGACACAATTGTGCTTGGGGTTACTAATCTCTACTTCAATGATTGGGTATTGACGTAGATCAAAGGGAGCCGTTTTGTGTCGTAACTCGCTCGTCTTCAAAGTCATGTGTGATGTGATATGACATGCTTAACACCGGGAAAAATGGGACAGCCTAAACGGGTTATGAAAAGACACACGAATTCGGCATTAAGGTATTCAAGTCTATGGGTAAAACTAAAGCATGCAAATTTGCTTCGTGCGTATCCAAGTGCAATTTTAGGAATTGGAGTTCGTAACATTAAAAAAAATGGGTCTATAAACGCTTGTTCACAATGTTTTGCACATACCTTGGAAAAGCTACATCTCCCACTTTGTCGCCCTCCACCCCCACTTCCCTGGATAACACTGCACATCCAGGCTTTGGCCCCAACCACTTTATTACACCTGAGCGCCAAAATTTTGTCCACCTCTAATCCGTCACTCTAAAGGCACAAACTACAAGCATCCGCTTAGTGAATTCAAGCAAGTGGATTTTATTTGCCAGTTCTCAAGGCCGCCACTCAAAGAAAAGAATGCAGGCTTCTTTGTCATCCCCTTAATCCTCCAGAGGCTCATTCGTAATCACTAGAAAAATTTCTTCATCCTCTCCTCGGGAACAGTAGCCGCCGTCTTGGTGCCACTGACCATATCGGCCTCAACGGGAGCCAGCATTGTTCGCGTGAGTCGTTGGCGAAGAGGTTCCACCTCAGCTGGCTCCAGTTTTTGCGTTGTGTTGACACCATAGCGCTTCACAATGATTTCCGAGCCACGAGTGGGGAATGCAGAGGTGCGGGAACTGAGACATCGGTTTAGAAGATGCGCAAAACCAATATAACGTCCGTCTTTCTCGTCGAATTCCACCTCTATTGTGCGGAAATTGACTGGACAGTAGACCGCACGTGGATCGTCAGGTCGAACCATGGTGATTTTGCAGTTTGTCAATTGCTCAAGACGACGCAGACGCGGGTCTTTGTAGTACGGGGCTACGATCGCGTCGTACTCCGTGGGTACGAAGATCACTTGTTTGAGAACGCCATACGGTTTCAGTTTCTACAAACAAATGGATGTCAAACAAGGTCTACTTACTCTAAGATGAGTGTGAATTTTTTGAACCGCGAAGGCGAAATCAATTGGTAGAAGCGCCTCTTGCATCAGAGCACCAAATTCATGAAGGCAGAAGGTGATATCAACCAAACGGACGTAAATAAGCGCGGGCAGTTCTGCCACGTACTCCAAGATCTTGTCCATCTGATCACACAAGTCGGTGAGCTCGGTAATAAGAGGACTATAGCTCAGTTTCTTGGAGATGGCTTTCATGTTCTCTGTTATTTCACTGACTTTTGTAACCAAATCTTCAACATTGCTGAAATCGTACTTGTCAATTTTACAGGGGCACTTTTTTAGAGCCACAAAGAATTGATCCACTTGTTTGTAAAGCTTTTTTATCAGCTCTTTTGCCGCCTTCGTGACTTTCTCATTAGCGGGTTTGGCTCCAGTGTCTCCCTTGGGCAAGCCCACAGTATTCGCACGAGAAATGAAGACTCGCCACCTTGCACGCCGCTTTCGAGCCATTCCAGACCTGAAGTCGTCCGGCATACAATCGTTTTCTTCATCACAATTCATGAATTCGTCACAGTTGAGAAATGACATATCAGCTGGTTGAGGGTCAAAGTTACAACCGGGTTCCGATCGCGGCTGGCAGACGCTCATGACTTGAGATTGTGGAAGAAGTAGAATATGCTTTGAGTGGTTCTATTTGTGTGTGCGTGTGCCCGAACTGCCCCCACGCTCACTCACTTCCTCAGGCGGTAAACGAGACTGCCGTTGAGACGGAGGAGACTGCTGATTCTTTCAAACCCGCCAGTCGATCGATTCTTGACACGTGTATCCACAGTCGTAGCCTTACGGGGAACTTTCGCATTAATCACGGCAACAGAATTAGGTTTCCGCTTTTCGTCCCTTAATTTTCACCCCTTACAGTGAAGTTACTCCAACGTTGAAATAACCCCGTTAGAAGTAGAAATGGCGCCTAACAACCATCTCTAATGTCGAATATGAGCGCGTGCTTTTCAACTTTGAGCGTTAAGCATCTAGTCGCACACTACTGTTTCGTTAATTCAAATGCATTTGAGTTTACTGACGTATTGGTAACCACCTGATGCAGTTCGCAGCGTACTACTCATATCTGATCACTTGTTATGTGCTTGAACGATAAATTTAGATAATAATATCGTCTGTAAACTGTTGTAATACGCTGAATACTTGTTAAACCCTCGGTTTCGGTAACGGACCACTGAACCTCCACCGGGTGACCTGGTCTCTGAGCCATACCAGTAGCTTCAAGCCCATCTGTGCGTCGGCAATACATATTCCACCCAAGAATTTCGTCTTCTTTCCTCTTCAGGGAAGACTCGGGGCATTATCAATCTAAAGAGGCAGCTGTTTCGGTTTCCACTAGTGGGTGATAAACCTTAGTTGGCTGCGAGAATTGCACATTGCTGCAGATGGTAAAACCGGTGACTACACCTCACAGAAAAGTTGGAAATAGCGTCTACCCTTGGCATTTATACCAGTCCTGTGTTAGGCAGGAATCCTATTAACAGCTGAAGTAGCACCAATTGTAAAATGATCAGGAAAAGTTTGTTACGGAGCTGTCTACTGTACGGATCAACCGTGTTGAAACCCTGCCTTGCTAATAGACCATTGTCCGTACGCGATATATGGCACATTTTTTCCTTTCCCTAATACAGTTTTCAAACGGGAAGAAACTTGAGATCGAGTAGAATTACCAAGAGGGATCAGTGACGTTGCAGTCAGATACCTAAGTTGCACGCAAATTCGATGGCTGGTGCAGTTGGCTTATTGGTATTGTTCTAAGAGCCCCAATTACGTTGCGGCAGTAGACGCAGGGGGTTGATCAGGGGCAGCGCCTGGATCGACGCTCAGGGAAAAGAGGAGTTGTGCAACACGTTGGTTGTATATCAAACCCCCGATTTTGTTGCAGACTACTTAAAGGCTCCACTGTTGTACCTTTACTGGGTGGCCTAGCCACCGGGTCATGCCATTAGCCCCCTCAGTTCTTCTGTACGTCGACAACACATATTTTGGTCGAGTATTATGTCTTCTCCCATCTTCAGGGAAGTCTGAATGCGCTAAATCATCACCGTTTGGAGGTTTTCAGAATCCATATCTGCTACATTGTGGTGAAGTGTTTGCAACCACGAGAGTCCCACACCTGCTTCTACATTTCTCAAATATACATTTTACCAAGTTAACTGAAAAATACTTTATATCGTGGTGTTAAATTTTTAATACATTTTGAATTGAAACAAAGCATAAATTATCCATCTAGATTTTCCCGAGTGAATAATCAACTCTTCAGATTCGCCACGAATTTCCCATAAAAAGGCAAAATCACATACAATTTTCAAATTATGTTACAAAGAATTACCTCATTAAAAAGCAAATAACAATGCTTACGATAAAATACAATGAAATAATCCACAAAAGGAAAAGAACTGGCGGCCTAAACCGCCTCAGATTGTGTGGAAAGAAGAGAGGTAAATGTAAATTAATGGGTAATTAGATTTCAATTTTGGGCGCGATTGCTAGGCCATTGCCACTGGCCATATCGCCTCGTATGGTGTCGTAGGAAATTCGAGCCTCCGTGGTCTCTAATTCACAAAGATCCTTGAGGGAAATCTCAACCTCTGCACCACTGAGCCGTTTGTATACGGACGCCACTAGACGTGGGAGAATGCCCTTATCAGGTGCGCACTGGTTCAGCAATTGCTGGAAGCCCACGTAGCGACCCTTCTTGCTGTCGAAATTCACCTCGATGGTGCGATAATGCATGGGACAGTAGATGCTTCGAGGATCATCTGGAGGTAGCAAAACAACACTGCAGTGGCAAAAGTGCTCCAATTTCATCAGTCGTCGACTCTTAAAGTATGTTCCAATAACGGGATCCATGCTATCTGGCACGAAGTAAATCTGCCGGATTATTCTCCCAGTTTGAAGGCGCTAAAATAAAGTGATAATACGGTGAGAATGAAATCGGATTGGAACCTACGTATATCCGACTTTGCACTTTGTGTACAATCTGCGCAAAGGAATAAGGCAGAAGTTCTTCACGCAGATGACCACCCAACTCGTAAATGTTGAACCCGAACTCCACCAGTCGAAGAAGGACGTAATGAGGGTGTGTGAGGAGCTCATCGAGCATTACTAGCAGGCGTTCATTTATATCGTCAAGTTCATCCTTGTATGTGCCATAACGTAGGTTTTCTATCAATTGCGTAATTGTTTTTTGGATCCGACAAATGAGGCAAACCATTTCATTACAAAAACTGAAGTCACACTTATTCAGGGCGTCCAGAGCTCCCAAGAGCTTATCAAAGAAGGTACTAAGAAGCTCATGCAATTTTTTGATATCCTCCCGAGCTGCAGGCGTTATCTTAAAGGAACGTTGCATAGGCGTCTCTCCCGTATCATTATATGTCAGGGAATAGCGCGACGGATAGCTTGTTGGGGGACAATAAAGACTAGGCATTGGGGTCAATCCACTTTTAACAGCTTGACACTCAATGACGGCATCGAGTGCCTGATAAACTTTGCCAACGCTTTGTGACTTAATGGATCGACTGCCCATAGTTTCACGTTGTTGTATCAAGCTGTCAATTCTAAACTGCACTTCAGGATCAAGCAAGTCCCTTGGGGTCCTCTGACCACATTTGACTGATTTCGATTCGCCGCAGGAAAGTTGAATCCGTTTGCCCCTTACTGGTTTCTTTAATTGGCCAATGGAAGCATTCGATAGGCTGGGGGAACAGCTACCATCGGCGGCTTCATTTGATGTACCTTCCATACAGCTCGATTCAAGCTTTTGTGTAGAGCAGCAATCAGATCTTCTGGATTCGCATTCCCTATAGGACAACTCAAGTTGAGAGATAGGATTGCACGAAGTCTTTGTGGATACGTTTTCTGGGCAAATATAGTCTGTCAAAGGCTCGGGATCGCATAAGAATTCTTTACAAAAGTCGTCAGAGCAGGATATTTCCACAGTATGCTTTGAGCTCTGCATTGGTTTTGGGGATTTCTTGACAAAGCGATTTCCCGTTGTCTGCCCGTACCTACGCATAGCACATCTAGGCGTGATTCTTACACAATTTTGCTCTAACTGCTTACAGCTTTGTGTTGCTCCTTCAGGTAAGTTCTCTTGACAGCGCAAAACCTCAGTTTGTTTTAAGCTGCACCCGCAGTTCCTCGGTTTGTTCTCCAAGGCAGGTCCTTCAGTGGACTTGCAGGTGCGTGTGGACCACATCAATGCGTGTTCTGAACAACAAACTGCAGTTTTAGTCATGCATCCGTATACTGATCCGTGAGATGCATTTTGGAAGCACTTGGATTCTTGGGGTACATTGCCAAAGCAACAGGTTCCTGTCGCGTGCTTGGGGGTAGACGACGATAGTTTAGGTGTAATTCCCACACGAAAAGGCTTTGTTGTGTGCTTGGAGCTGCAAACGGATTTTTGGGTAGCGTCCCCTAAGAAACATGCCTGAATAGGTTTGGAGCCACAAACTGATTTTTTGGATACATTCTCTTGGCACGGTTCCTTTGTGCAGTTGAGGCAAGGCGTAGACGTCTTTGGTGTGCTTCTCAGGCTAAGAGTTCCCTTACTTTTACAATTTTGTTCAGACTCTTTTGGCCCGTCTTTAAAACTTAATAGTTCCACGTGTTTGGAGCTACACATGGACTCTTTGGGTGCACTTCCTCTGCAAAAAGGGCCGGCTAAACGCTTAGACCTGCCTTGAGGTTCCTCAAGTGCCTTCGGATGCTTGGAGAAAGGCAACGATCCTTTAGCTGAAATGCCTGAGAAACAGGAATCTGTCGTAGATTTGGAGCTACAGTGGCATTTTTGGGTTCCTTTTTCCTGGCAGCACAGTCCACGGTTTTTCTTAGGTGCATTTTCAAGACGCCGGGATCCTTTGCATTCGTTTTTTATTTGAGCTTTCACTGAACACTTAGAAGTGGGCCGAGATGGCCTGAGTGCATTTTCTTGACAAACGGATCCCTGTGTGAGTTTGGAGCTCTGTCTAGGTTCCTTGGGTGCTTTTTCCAAACGACACATCACACTTATGTACTTAGAATTGAACACAGATTCTTGGGCTTTATCTTCAGGACAAAAAGGTCCTCCTATAGGCTTAGAACCAAATTGAGGTTCTCTAGGCACTTTCTCCAAGCAAGAGGGTTCTGGTGTAGATTTGGAGTTGTAAGAGGGTTCATTAGTTTCATTCGGCAGACAGGGTCCCCCTATATGTGTTGTATGACAATCAGGTGTTTTCGCCATAGTTTCTGAAGGCATGGAACTGCACTGAGGGTTTTTTGGTGCAGTGTCCAGACAACAAGACGCTGATCTGCGTTGGCGGATGCGCAAGTGCTTTCTGGGTGAGTTTTCCAAACAACTGCAATTGACTGGGTCAGGGCTGCGCAGGGAACCCTCGAGACCAGCCTCTAAACTGCAAGGTTCAGAGACATCTTCCTTGTAACTTTCAGCCTCTTTTTGGGAAATGCTCTCCAAACCTTCGGGATTAGAGCTGCATACACAGCTATATTTAATCCTGTTGGCACATTCTGAATGAGTAGCTCCAAGTGTGATGTTCAGAATTATAGTTCCCGGTGTATTTTCGACACTAGAGACTAAACGTTCAGTTATTCCGCGGCACCTTGGACTAGAGGTGGGTTCTGTAGGAGCAAGACATTGTTCTTTCAGAGGGCAAATCGCCATGTTGTTCCTGTGTTGTACAGAGTTTTGAATGCGGCGGTGGGTCGATATGGCATGAAACTTGGCCTCAATGTCACGTCCTCGGGATCACGTGCCCCCGATGAGTCTTCAGTAGTCTATCACCAAATATTAATTGTTCTTACTGATTTGCATTTTTCCCTTCATTTAACATCCACTTCCCTCTTATTAACAGTAGATTCCATGATTCTATTAATTTTAGAAGAAAGGAGGTTGAGTGTGTTCTATTTCGTTAGCGACAAATGCCATCTTAAATCGGAATTACATAAATTCTGCCATCGTAATCTAACATCGGCTCACAGTGCTCAAATATGCATATTCAGAAAGTGTTTCGCAATTAAAGTCACATATGTCTTACTAGTGTTGCTGAAGGTGTTTTCAATGAAAAATCTGTGCCTGATTATTTGGGTGTGTTTGGGTCTGCTAAATAAATATAATATCCTGATTAAAATTTCCACTCCTTCTTCTGTGGACGGCTTGTGTGCGAGAAGTGGATCCGACGAGGACCACGTGAACAATCGATCACCGCTGGTAGGGATCGTGGTCGGTGAGCGTGCTTCAAATCCACCCAGTTTGTCCTTAGCAAGCTATTTTCAGTCTTATTTTCAAGAAAAATTATCCAGTCTTCCACCTCATGGCCACCAGCCAGGATCGTCCATTCACAAGACGAAATGAATTCCGTGACAAAGTGGTGGTTTTAAGCAGTAATGGTACAGCTAGAAAAAATGTGATTTTTAAACCATCGAAGACTGTAAACGAAGTAGATTTACTGAAGCAGCCCGCAAAATCGGATTCATCGACCAGTGGGTTTCCTGGAGTAGTTCAAGAGTCGGTTTCAATGGGCTGCTCCCCGCCTAGAAAGGATCTGCCACCCATCCAACCTGCAATACGTATGAATCAAAATTTTTCCATATTTACAGAATTTCGATCGTCAAACTGTTTCGTCGACAATGCGGTACTGCGACCTAGGGAGCAACTTCTTCAGTCAACTGAAAAAATTAAGGGCTCTAGTGGTAAGGGTTCTGCGGATTCACTAGGTTCCATTCTTTTAACCTCATTTCAAATGCTTGAGATCAACAACCAGAATGATTCAGCGGACTTAACCAATTCGCAGGTAAACTTAGAATCGAAAAAGTCACGTCGGTACCAAAAAACTAATTGTGAACCTAAAAAAGTCAAACATCAAATGTCAAAAGAAAGACGTCAACAGCCTGAATCTCAACAAAACGACCTTACTCAAAGTAATCCATGTACGCGAACTCCACAGAATTCCATGAAGTGCGTACCAAACGGCCGTATTTATAATACGTTACAATTTGGGAAGAATGGGAGCCCCATTCATCTTTCCCCACGTATGCGATCACTTCAAAGCTTTTTCGAAAAGAAGCGTTTGGCCGCAGACGCCTGGAAGGCGAAAATATTATACGAGAACAAGGAACGCACTTCACGTGACCTACAGTGGGCGGCACGGCAACTACGAGCTTTCTCGACTAACAACAGATTGAATTCTGTCACCCCAGGAAAGGGTAATTACTTACGGCTCATGTCAGATATTGCGGGGACCGAGTATGGTGACTTTGCTCGTCCAAATGTTATGCTTAAGCCAAAGAGAGCGAAAAGTGAAAAGGAAAAGAATATCGTCTGCGGTGTGGGAAGCTTTCATCTAGAGGAAGTTCCTCCAGGGGATAAGGTGACTCCAGAAGCACAGGAAATTCTCTTAGTTTTGCGAGACACAGTTGCAATAATCATCAACGATATCATTACAATTGACCAAGGGCTTACAAAAAGGAATTTTAAACCCTGTTCCTCAATAGTAGAGCACCTGGAAATGATCCCTGAAATGCTGATAGCTCTCATAGATCATCTTTACTATACGCCACAGGAGTTTGAACTAGTTGCCGTGGCCAAAAACATAAATAGCTTGATTACGGATGTACTAAAGGACCCGGTGATTGTCCTTTTCAAAATGATTGAGCTCGGTCACTACCTCTACTACTTGGGCCGCATTTTGGGAGAGAAGATTGTGCCCAAGGACCTTCCTCGGCTGCTACACTCAATCCAAGTAAAGTTACAGGTAGGGCGAATTAATATTTTCAGCTAAATAGAGAATTCCCATTTGCAGTGCAATGTTAAAACAGTGGTTTCTAACTCATTTTCTCTAGTTTAGACGACCTTAAATTTCACCGCCAGCACAGAATCGGAATGAGTCAGGAATAGGCAAAACTTGGAGTTCTCGTTGAAACGATGACATCTAAATAGTTATTTATACTTGTAAAGTTAGCAAGCTTTCACCGTGTAAAAGGTGCATTTATAAGCGGATAATAAATAACGACGACTTGCAATATAAACTGACGCTCTTCTTTTAAGTTGACAAACCTCAGTTGGATTTTTATTTTTGTTAAAATTTTGGAAACCTGAAATTGGCATGCTTTTTATATTCTACTTTATTATCCAAAAACTGAAGAATTGAGTCTGTTTAGAATGGCAGAGCATTCTGTGCTTTGTTTTATTGCTCAAGGGAACATTCCAGGTTTGTTTGAGGGTAACAGTTGGACAACTTTATCTCTTAAATAAGAATCATACTTGCATGGTGGATTTATTAGTAAATTATAATAGTAATTGAAACGTATGGAAATCAGTGGTGAAGCGAAATTAATGTACACAACAATTCCTTTGACATCGAATAAAAGCCATGACTGTTGACAGTAAGAGTGCCAGCTACGCCATATATCCATGAATTTTCCCTATTTACTTTTTTGGAAACAAGTGCCCCTGAGAACAGACAAATTTTATTTGCCTACGAGCTGCGCTTGTAACTGGCTTTGAGATTGTAAACAAAAAAGAGTTCACTTTCCACAGAGTCCCTGATATTTATACATCTACCTCACAGTTTAACTAATACATTGCGACATAGTCACGGAAAGATCTGTCAGTACGGCTGAGCCGTCCTGGGGCAGTCTGCTTCACCTCGTCTTCATAGCTAGTCTGTACCTGTTTCTAAGAAGGGCACATTTTCGCCAACGACTGCATTTATTTTTTCCACAAGGAGCTTCCATTTTACGGCAGGCTAAATAGACTGCATAATTTGACATTCTGCGCGCTGAATGTGTGAAATAATGGCTGCAGTGCTGTCGGCCGAGGACCATCGTGGTCGAGATTACTACTACTGGATGTCCCACCGCCTTTCATATCACTCAAGTGTCTTGCCACTGAGCTACTTGACATCCCATCACTGTGCTGTCTCCAAAATTCCCTTTAATTAATTCAGTGCGACCGTGCCGTCACCTTGATTAAGTACGTCTGGACGGCATCTAAGCTTGCTATTGGCACTCGTAACAGAAATCTCTCATTATTTGCTATTGCATGAAGTAAAAGTCCTGGTTTGTCTTAAGAATTTTTTTTCTTGAAATCTGCATTGAGAAATTAACAAGGCATACTGAATTCAGAATGTGGCAGGGTAGTAAAAAGGCTGTGTGAGGGGGTGTAGAGCAAAACCGTACACTTTTTTGCATTTTTTTCTCAGCGAATAAAGATTGGCTTCGTCGTTCGTCAGTATTTCCACATCCCCATAAGCATGGACTTTGTCATTACACCATACAACAAGGACCGACAGTTGATTCGATTGGAGGAGGAGTGTCACTGCATCGTCAATCTCCTCCATCCTGAAGACCCACGCTCAAGATACTGTCCACCCAGCTACCGCACCATTGAGGTGCTTTACGATGAGGAGCTTGGACACTTTGAAAAATTTCAGCACCGTCTGAACCGCATTCTCTCGCCTCAGCGCTGCACTGCACGCCTTGTCTCTACCATTCTACGACAATTCGACGGACGGGAAGTTGTCGTGACGGCCGAACATGCTGCCTATCTACTCAACTCGGACCACCGACCGCGCTACGACGACGTCCGCGCTCTCGTGGTGTCTGGCTGTCGGCCGCGCGCGGACCGACTACCGATCAATGTGTGAGCAGGCAGCCGCGTCGTCTACTCTCTACTGTTAATCTTTGTATCCGTTTTAAATATACTTTTTTGTATTCTTTTTCCGGTGAAGCGAAAATTCGTGTATATTTAATCATTTTATGCAAATGGATTAACAGTCAACCAACACACTCTCCTTTCGGACATCCCTGATTTACATTAAATTTTAATGAGAATAATAATTTTGGATGGCGCTCTCCCTTTTTTCTGCATCAGCTTGGAAAAAGACATCGGTAGAGGCTTCACCTTTTTCCCACTCGACGTACCGCATAAAGTAAACATTTGGGGTTGTCCAAAAGTACCAATAGAAAAGCTAAAAAGTTTTTGAAGTTCGGGAAAGTAGTTACTATAGGGATAGGATTAATCAACTAAACCATTTTATCCTCGTTTTCACGTGCCATTCATATTGATTTGTCCAGTGATTCGAAAGTCTGGAAGATATTTCTACTTCACGTTACTTTACTGCATGAAATGTATAGCCAATTACTCTAACCTCCTGCAAGTAAATATGCCTACATACGGGTCGACGAAACTTTGTAGAAGTCGGGACGAATCCGTTTGGGAAGAGACCGTACCCTCCTCATCACAAAGCAGTGTCATCGAACCACCGCATTTCCAGGACCCATCACTTTCAACAAGCAGATGGTGTTCACTGAGTAGTTACCAGAGATCCTTCAAGTCCACGGATTGGCTCAGATTGAAGAAACGCGTGCCCACCATACAGAAGTACATTGAAGCATTGAGAAAAGCTTTATACTCATTTTATCTTGAATTGAACAAAGCGGAGAAGACTCTAGCAAAGCATAGAATGCCTCAATTGGACCCTATTATACTACCAGCTGTCGAGTCGTCGGCTGTACTTCAACGACTCTGTAACGACCTGCGTCTCACGCCAATGGAAAAGGAGGTGTTCAACGCGTACAGGGAGTTTGCGAGCCTCGTCAATGAGGCCTTGGGAGATCCAATGGTAGTGTTAATGAAATTGCGGGAAATGGTGAACTGCATTTGTGAAATTGAGGACATTTTGGAGGAGGACTTGCTACCCGATGGCTTTGAAGCACTGACTGGTCGAATTTTAAACCACATTACGGAATCTCACAAGGCCCTTAGTAGTGCTTGGGTTGAACGACTTCAGGAATTGCTTCGACAGCACTTTAAAATCTCTGACGCCCATTAGTGTCGTGGAAATGTACATGAGTTTAATCCCACCTGAGTGAGACTTATTTATTGTGGTGTAAAAGTAATGAGTTTGTATTAATGCTTTGCGATAATGCGGTGTCCTTAAGGATTAAACTTTACTGTAAGAATATCTGCTTGTTCAAGTCTTTCAAGCCAGATCCAAATAAGCATACTTGGAAGGCGAGGTATAAAGAAAAAGAACGTGAAAAAGGCATGAAAACTAATGTAATGAGAGAGGGGTAATTTACAGGTTGTAATCATGCAACTCATTAATAGTTCAAAAAGTTTTTTTTCAATAAATGGAGTTGGCGATTTCTAACTCATTATTGCCTCGACAGCTGCCTTCCTGGAAAATTGGTCAACGCGAAGTTACATTGGAATTGAATGGATGACTTGATGTCATTTGTGTTAGGGGCTTTGGTGGACTCCCACGTAACTGTCCATTCATGCATCTACCACTCCATTAGCCCATCTTCTATCGCGCAAACAATCAGTTATTTCATCACACTTGTATTGCTTTAATTGTTTGTTTCACTCACTTTCAATTCACAGGTCACTTAAGACCCTTCCATTGTACCTTCGCCAAGTGGTCTAGCCTCTGGATCATTCCAGCAGCTCCCATACTCTTCCTGTACGTCTTTCTTCGTCTTCGTAAAAGTCCCGGGGCGCTACATTTGCAGCAGCAGAAAGCAAACCCGATTCTACTGAAGACCCATCCTAATTTCCACTACTGGGTGATAAACCTTAGTGAGGTGGAAAAAATGGATATGCAGAAGATGGGAGAAGCTGTAACGACTCCTAACAGAGGGGCTGAAAATGGCATCTACCTTAGGCAACTACTCCACTCTCGTGATCTGCAAGAAAGCTATTGACAACTGAGGTGACACTATCCGCGACCACTAGCTATCCAGAAAAGATCATTACGGAACTGTCTTTTTGTCAATTATGTAAACTTGCTAAACGTCCTTCTCATCTCTATTATCAGGACAGAACTTAGATAGATGTGTGGCTGGGCAGCACTGAACTTAGAACGAAGTGGCGAGGAGGAATGGACGCAAAACCCCATCCACACGAAAATATGCCAAACCCCGTCATTTGTTATCTGGCTCCTTTTTTGTGCTAGTGCTCCTACGGCTAGAGATGGGCATGCATGACGGCCAGTGCATTCCCCTCTTCCCCAAAGCAGTTCCCAAATGGGACATAACTCCAGATCCAGTAGACTTGCCAGGAGGGATCAGCAACGTTGCGGTCAGATAGCCTCTCAATTGCATGCAACTTCGATGACTGGTGCAGTTGGTTCCTGGGTGTTTTTCGTACAGCACCGTCTGCGTTGTGATGGCCAGCACTAAGGACTGATTAAGTTAAAAGTGCCCCTTTGAAAGGCCTATTTTAACGTTTCTTCAAATCACTAGTCCACTTATTAAGAGTTACTTATTTTTTAAATCACCGCAGCCATCGTTTACTAAGCCTCCCAATGTCGCATCATTAACACTGTCAAAACTATTAAACTCAGCCTGTGGTGTTGACAGCGATCCAATCAATCCAGATTGTAGGTGTCAAAAAATTGCTCAGTCTCAGGCCAAAAATGACTCCTTTTCCTCTACTCTATCTCACCCCTAATCGACCGTAAAAGGTTCACCCAAATGCTACAACACCTCACCTCTGATAAGTCTACTTTCTTCATCCTACTCCCTTCAAGCATCAAGCGCATCCACTACCATTTTTCCACAACCCTTCCGACTATGTTTCGCCGAAAGTGGGGTGATGAAATACAACTATGCTCTTTACCTCTGTACCTCCTAAAACAACACCAGCAAGATATAATTTTGATTGATACTGTTGAAGGACAGTGGAGACTGACAGTCAACAACGTTACATTATGACACTTAATCCTTATCCTTCCCCATATCTTCCAACACCGTATACTTTCTACCGGTTGAAGATTATGGTCATGAATTCTCCAAACCTATCACTTAGCTGCAAGTCGATTCCAGTGTGCAATCATTACTTCATCAGCCATCTCGCATCCATCCATTCATAGTCCATTATTTCTTTATACCTTTTCCGTTCCTCCTGCCTCCCCTGACTCTCCTTTTACTTTTCATTTCCGCGCTTTTTTAAACATTTGTACTTGGTTGTATTTTACTTCTTGTTTTCCATTGCTTTGGCCATCTCTCTTCAGTTCTTCCCTGTATTTCTCTTTTATTTCTGTTTTCTTGCAGACACATGGGTTTTTCTATATTTCTGGTCAATTCACTTTTAAAAATGCTAACAATATGCTTTGACTGCCTGTGCAATTCCCAATGTGCAATAATTCCTATTGTCCATATTTTTCGCCCAATTATTCATGGGAGATATCTACGAATGTTGGTCACTTGAACCTCCTCTACGCCTTCGATCTTGTGTCTGATCTTCTTAAAAGTTAAGTTCCTCCAATCCTACTCAGCTTGCTGATCTCCATCCATGTTAGTTCGCTTAAAATTATTTAGTGAGATCTGTCATAAACAATCCGGGAAACGGGGACAAGGTTATCCAGTGGCTGAAAAGGGGTCATTCTACTGTTTTTTTTTCTCCACTGAGTGCTTCTTTTTTTCATCCAATCCGTGCAGCCATCAATTTAAACTGTATTTCCATACTTGTGTATCATCACCTGTCAATGGAGGAACTCTGACTTGTTGAATTCATGATGTCACCAATTGTCACTCGTGGATTCAACTGAGCTGCCTACTTTAACCTTATAAGGAAATAGCATTTTGAACTCACTTGATAATCATGCCAATCCTTTATAACTTCATTCGATTACGCTTGTCAAGCTTGACTACTGAGAGAAATACAATTCAAAAAAGGGGGTTCCTTTTCGGGTTTTATATCTCCCTCCATTCTCTTCGAATCTTTCTCCCTTAAACGGCATGGCAATATGCGTTTAGGCATTTCCCATGCCTATTTCCTTCTCTTTATACACATTTTTCGTCTCCTCAAACAGTTTCTTAACCATTCTGTAAATCTTCAATTTCTGCTTCATTTTTTGAAAAGCACCTTTTGATTTTCTATTAATACATAACATTCCATCTTTAGCTGATTTTCTTTGGGTATGTCTGTAGTGCATTAATTACTTGTCAAACTCTCGGTTTTGTTAAGAGGCCACCTAGGGTTACCACCATTGTTCTTCCATCAGCCCATGGTAGTTGCCCCAAGCCCTACTGTACGTCGGCAATACATATTCCGTCCGTGTACCATGTCTTCTTTCTTCTTCGGAGAGGTCTCAACGAGCTACAATGTTCACTACTTTCTCTTTAGTTGTGCCAGCATCCTGGCTAAAAGTAATTTGAAAGATTTACCTTCTGTGTTCCACTTCTCATCATCTTTCATTTTAATTATCATGCCGACTTCATCAGGCCCGCCTTTGCAGCAGCCACTTCAGCGTGTTGGCGACACGCAACCACCCCTTCTGCGGCCTTGCGTTTGAACTGACACGAGTCAATAATCATCATCTCTTCCGCGGTGTGCCATGTCCTGCTGATTGACCTCCCCGCTACACATCTTTACTTTTCCACGAGAAATACCCAAAATTGTTTGCTTTTTCGCCTTCTTTATTTTGCTGCTCACCTTGGCACATCAAAATTTCATTTAAATGGAAAGCGCCGAGGCTTCCGACTTACAGTCTCATAATTGTGAAAAGCCCGTCTGTGACGCTCGGCCCTGTAAATTACCGGAATCACAGTCTGCGGTCTCTCAACAAAGTGGTTCAAAATGCCAGCCTATTCCAATTTCGCGAACCAACAGTCAACCGGGCACAATCACTGTTAACATAAGTCTTTTGCAAACCTCTCGAAAGGGCAAACGTTTTCAGGCCCAAAAACCCCGTGATGAGACAGTCGTT